AGCAGGGATCGGGGGGGAAGCGGTTTAAAGACTTTGTTTCTGCTCTGGCACGGTTGCAGTTGAACAGGGTGGAATGAACGTGGGGAGTGATACAGAATGAGAGCAATGCAGGGGGAAGGGAATTAACCAGCACAGATCAGATCCAATTTTCTCTTGCTGTAACCCTACTGGTCTCCTCGGTTGGGCACTGGCATGCCCTGCTGTAGGATGAGCGAGAATAGACACTCTGGGGATGTCTACACTGCGGCTGGGAGCGCGGGCAGACGCTTGGTTTTGTGGAGCTAGGATGCTAGAAGTAGCAGCGTGGAAATTGCGGCACGAGCAGTGGCTCAGGCTAGCAACCCGAGCTCAAACCCAAGGACGGGGGCAGGCTTGAACTTGGATAGTTAGTCTGAGCCCCCACCGGTGCCACAGCATCCACACGGCTTTTTTTAGCCAGAGCTAGTGTGTGTCTGTCTGCATGAGCTAGGAATTGCACCTCCCCACTCTGTTGGTCAGAGAGACAAGCTTTCCAGCTTACACAGAGCTCTTCTTCGGGCCTGGGAGATGTACTCAGACCGTCACAGCTAAACACAAGACTGTTTAGCATAAGTAGTTAATATGTATTTCACTGGAATGCCCTGAGAGAACGCTTCATCCTCCATGTTCCAAGAAGGAACCTTCTGTTTGAAGGAGCAGGGATGGCTGTTGACGAAAAGTATTTGTTCCTGCTCCGACGCTGTTTTTACTGGTCCTAACTCCAGCTAGCTCAGCATCCTAGGCCTCTGCTGAAGCACAAAGGGTGTGTTTACATCTCCTGTGGGGCTGAAGGCCCAAGCTCCAGCGCGCCTAATGGTGTAGAAGCCCTGAGCCCCGGCGTGCTCCACGGGGCTGAAGCTGCGAGCCCTGGTGCCCCCCCTGCGGGGCTAAAGCCCCGAACTGTGGCATGCCCCCACTCCGCAGAGCTAAAGCCCCAAGCGCCGGTGCCCCTCCCCACCCCATAGGGCTAATGGTCCGAGACCCAGTGCCCCTCCCAGCCCTGTGGGGCTGAAGCCCCGAGTCCGGCACCTCCCCAAGGGGAGCCCCGAATGGGGAGGGACGTCGGGGGCGCCAGGAAATAATCTCTGAGAATTTTAAGCCCTGGTTTGTGTGTTTTCTATCTCCTTCAGACTAACATGCTGCCCAAGTGCTAAGATCTGGCCAGGTGCTTCCAGTCTCATATAGACCTGGCTCAGAATAGATCAAAAGCATCACACATTGAGTAGGCAACTCACACACTGAGGAAAGATCTTTAAAAGTGTATTGCACTCTGCGAATATTTAAATAGAACCGAGGATCCCTGTCTGAGATGCAGGGCCGGCGCAACCCATTAGGCGACCTAGGCGGTTGCCTAGGGCGCTAACATTTGGGGGGCAGCGACCGCGGCGGCCGGATCTTCAGCCGCCCTGGTTGTCGGCGGCATTTTGGGGGCGGGATCTTCGGCCGCCTCTGTCGGGGGCGGCATTTTGGGGGCGGGACCTTCCGCTGCCTAGGGCAGCAAAAAAGCTGGCGGCGCTTCTGCTGAGATGGACCCGTCGTTGCTGCCCGTCTCTCTGACTAAAAGGAGCCTGCTCTTGTGATGCGAAGCACGTGTCATAGGGCCAGATTGTAACCCTCTTTGGGTCTGACTGCACTACCGTCACTACAGGCCACTGTGATTGCAGCTCAAGTAGACGTACCCAACCTAGCTTTAATCTACATAGCTCGGGTACTGGAGCCATGAAACCTCAGCAGTGCAGGCTATCCAAGCCTGCCCAGAACCCTGGGTAATTACTCTGCCATGCTCCAGCACTCAAGCTAGCTAGCTTAAAGCTAGGTTGGGCATGGGAGTTTGAGCTGCAGTACACCCCGTGATTGCAGTATAGACACAACCTTGTTTGCCCTGGTGAGCGGTTACACAAGTAGTCAGTGGAACTACTGAACCATTCGCTAACGTGAGCAAGGGAGTCAGTCTGGCCCACAGGTTGCATTCTTTTCCCTATAACATTTCCCCAACTGCCCCACAAATGCCATGATTCTGCTCTGACTGTCTGGGTGTGTTGCATTTTCTTCGTATTTTTGGAATTCCACATAAAACTGGGGGGTAGGGGTGGGGTGTCACAGTGGAACATAGCCTGAATGATGATTCGAGCTCATCAACATTTGCTGCCTTTTGATTATTTTAATGACATTTGTTATCAACATTTAATTTCAACAAAAAGGGGATGACATTTCTTGCAGAAATTTGCATCCCGTTTTTCATCTAGTTTGTAGGGCTGCTTCAAGGTTTCAATTCTGGCCTAAAAAAAAGATGGGTTTTTCATTAAAAAAATTCTGATTTTTTTGTGTGTGGCCACCTCTCTGAAGTGTGTATTATTGTGGCCATTTTACAGATGGGGAAATTGGGACTCAGAGAGTAAAGTGACTTGCCCAAAGTCACATGATGCCTGATCCAACGCTCATAGAAGTTAATGGGAAGCTATCACTACCTTCAATGGGTCTTGGATTAGGTCAAAAGTAAGTCAGTGGCATAGCAGCAAACAGACCCTAGACCTTTAATACAGCAAACAAAAATGACTAAAGCCAATTTTTTTTTACCTTCTGTAATTAACCTTGTTGCCGCTCTTCTGCAAAATACATGAGCTGAGATTTTTCTTCTGGTAGCGAGAACTTTCTTTAGAAAAAAGAAAATCCTAGAGTCACGTTGATCATCCATGTGAGCGCAGCTGGGCTTTGTAACTTGCTTTGTCACATGTAAAATTCATGTGGCTTTATCCGTGTGCCAGGAGTTTATACCCTGTACGCTCAGAGCTGCACAACACAATCTTCTTAAAGTCCAGCTCCTGCTCCTTCGTTATTAGCAAAGGTTTCCTTCATTCTGCAATCAGGTAAGACAAACAAAATCTCCGGGCCCAAAATACATGTCAAAATGAAGATATTTGCTTCTCAGAGCCAAGAATTCTGAACTCCTTTACCTTTCTTTCACTTTGATAGTTTCCATGGAAACCATAATGTTAAGCTATGCAGTTACTTACCGCAACATTACATAATCCACCGTACGCTCAGTTACTCCTGAACAAACGTGTTTGCGCTGTTGCTTTTTGTCAATGTAATCAGCCAGATCTGTGTTGATTTGATTAAACAAGGAGCGGCAGTGTAAAATCGGCAATGAAAATGTGACTTCTGTCAGCTCCCTATCCAGAAAATGGCACAGTCCCTGTTTGCGCTGTATGTGAAAAGACACAGTGGGGGTATTGCTGCTGGCCTGGCAGTTTAAATGGCGTTGAGATGACAGTTGTAATAGATCTAAGGGTGCCTGATGCACCACATTTTAAACTCGAGGGTCTGAACCTGAGTCTGAGACCAGTGGAAGTGCATCGGAACTGATTCTCTAGTGCCTTGTGTTGTCATTGACCCCTGTGCAGGCCCTTACACCGGTGGGATTATTTTACGCCCTCTTTGAACAGGGGTGAATAATTGTGCAAGGGGCCAGGCAGTGAAGAATGACCCATTGGTTTCAGCGGAGTTGCTCCTATTTTAGGCTAGTGAAAGGGAGATCGGAATCAGCCCCTTAACCTTTTGGACCAATAGTGTCAATATTTTTATGATGAGAAAAATGAGGCTATTTAGAGAAACACTTCCTGGGTGATGCTAAGCACGCTCCTCTCTCCTTCTCTTCCATGCTCTTGCCACTGCTACCTCCATGGATTGACCCAGTGGTAGCAACAGTGAGAAGTCCGGGGTGGGGAATGGCTGGTGTAGACACAGCCTTTAAATTATATGTTTAGTCCCATTACCTTAAATGGGGTTTCTTGAATGAATTGCTAGATTCCGGGCCTCATGGTAGTTGAATTGTTTTTCTTTTCTTACGCTCCGAGGCTGATCCACTGAAGTTAATGACAAGTTCCATTGACTTTCATGGGAACAAGATTAGCTTCCAGCTCCGCATAGGGCCAAAGAGCGATTTCCTCTGGACCTTAGGTTTGCACAGAGTATGCAAGGGAAATGAGGATGGGAGTGCATTTGTTGGTTTGCCACAGCAGTATTTTCATAGAAGAGAGTGAAAAAAATTGCAAGCAATGGCTCCCATCCTCTTTATCCTGTTCACACAGAGCCCCTTTAAAGTGGACTCACGCGAATAAGGCAAGCAAGATCTAGCCCCAAACACATATCACGAATGAAAGCTGACACCGATACAGTAGATTCTATTGGAGCATTTTCAGTACATCCGTTCTTCTCTTTCAGTGTGTTGCGATAATTACACTACAGCGAGAATTATGCCTTCCTTAAGCACCGCTGTGCTTTTGCAAAGCAGGTTTTCTTGCCAATGCTCTTCATACTTAAAGAATTGTTCAAGGATGCCAAAGAAAATCTGGCTGTAATTCTATTGACTATAATGATTTCAGCTACCGTCAGATGACATGACAAGCTGCCATATACTGCTTTGAAAAGGCCATTCCTTCCAACACTAATCTCAGTGTTCTTCAGTCATTTACGCCTCACTCGGTGCTTAATTTGTAATGAAAGAGGTGCCCGGGCTCAAGCAATTTTTTTACTTTTATAACGGTTGTGGCAAGCCCAGAACGTGCCAGGGCTATGAACCGCCAAGCCTAGATGCCGGGGCTCAGCCCTGACAAGCCCTGGCACAAATTAAGCACTGGCCTCACTGTAACAATGATACTTACTTTACAATCCGCTACTTGGCTCACGTGATATGTTTGCTGACGCTGCAATATGGATTTGAGGCAAGGATGTAAAATGCAAATGGTAGTTGCTGGGAGGGATAGCTCAGCGGGTTAAGCATTGGCCTGCTAAACCCACATTTGTGAGTTCAATCCTTGAAGGGGCCATTTAGGGAATGTGGATAAAAATCTATCTGGGGATTGGCCCTGCTTTAAGCAGGGGCTTAGACTAGATAACCCGCCTGAGGTCCCTTCCAACCCTGATATTCTATGATTTAAAGTAGCTTTTGTATCAAGTATTTGATAAAACAGGTATTTAAATTGTCTATGGATCATTGGAAACAGCAGATAACTAATTGTTTGATTGCCAACAACTCTCAAGCATTTGCCATCTACATAAAGCAAACAGATGCTGTCTATGGGAGACAGGAATTTATTAGGTATGGCAACTATTTTTTAAGGGAGGTGAAAGGGAAATGTATGGTATTGAGAAGTTGTCTGGATCTGCCAACGTATGTGTTGTCAGTTTTCCCCACGTCTGGGCCAGAGGTTGGTAGCTTTACTCCTGCGGAATAGTGCCGTATTTCAGAAGCAGTCCCATTGCAGTCGGTGGGCTAGATCCTCGGCTCGTGTGAATTGACGTGGCTACGCTGAAGCTACGTTAATTTAGACCAGCTGATGATCTGATTCAATGGGACCACTTGTGGAGTAAAGTGCTAGGCCCGATCCTGCAAAGCCCTTATGCGTTTGTTTAAATTTCCATATTTTGAGTAGTGCCATTGACCTTAATGGGAATATTCCTAGCGCGTGTGCGTAAGTCTCTGCAGAATGAAGGCCCTACCTCACATCTGCTAGGGTATCGGAGTCTGGCCCTCTGAATTTTCCAGTTTGCCATCTCTTCCCTGTCTCTGCTTTCTAGATAGTGCCTGACCTGAACAATTTTCTGATTTTATTCCTATGTGTTGTACGGCACTCGATGCTAAACTAATAATAAATAGCATAATAAAATGATCATCCTAAAAATAAATAATCTGTAATGAAAATACTATGAGAATGATGCTAATAATTTGTATTGTCTGAATTTTCATATTAATAACAATCCCTTGCTCTTGCAGTGCTTTTCATCAGTAGATCTCAAAAGGGCTTCACCAGCTTTAATGTCTTTATCCTCACAACACCCCCAGGAGGCAGGGCAGTGCGGTTATTCCCATTTTACAGATTGGAGACTGAGGCCCAGAGAGGCTAAGTGACTTGCCCAAGGTCACACAGGAAGTCGGTGGTGGACCAGGAATTGAGCCCACGTCCCTAAAGTCCTTTCATAAAATGGATGTAATTGAGTCCATAGGTTTAAGACAGCTCCTCCCTTAGGGCTGGTCTACACTGGGGGGGGGCGGGAATCGATCAAAGATACGCAGCTTCAGCTACGCGAATAACGTAGCTGAAGTCGAAGTATCTTGGATCGAATTACCTGGGGTCCACACGGCGCGGGACCGACGGCCATGGCTCCCCCGTCGACTGCGCTACCGCCGCTCGCTCTGGTGGAGTTCCGGAGTCGACAGTGAGCGCGTTCGGGGATCGATATATCGCGTCTTAACGAGACGCGATATATCGATCCCGGATAAATCGATTGCTACCTGCCGATACAGCGGGTAGTGAAGACGTATCCTAAGGCCTTGTCTTCGCCTAAAAATTAGATTAGCTTCACTACATTGCTCAAGGCTGTGAAAAATTTCATGCCCTGCGCAACTTTGTTAGGTCAACCAACACCACCCTCTCCTGCCAGATGCAGAAGAAGAATTAGCGACCACCTTTGGTGAGGCGGATTAACTACATCCATGGGAAAAACCTTTCTGTCAATGTAGGAAGCGTCTACACGATAGTGGCCCAGCTGCAGTGTCATAGCAGTGCTGCTGTCGTGTAGACAGACCTTCAATGTCTCTGAGTTTGTATCAGCTGAATGATGAACTCACAGACTTGTTTATTTCATCTGCCAGATCTTTATTATGTGGTTTCATTTTTTTTGACAAGCTGTTCAAGTTCGCTACCTACGAAGACCAAATGCTATTGCTGTCCTCTTGATGTTTGGTTTCTAGGGATGGTTGTTGAGAGACGTTTCTGTGCTGTAATGGGAGAGGATAGTTACCATAGGGTAAACCTGCCCTGCAGCTCAGCTGATCGAAGCCATCCGTGGCTGTGCTGTAGGTCTTTTATTTCAGTGTAGACATACCCATAGTTAGGCTGATTAGTATTCCTGTTTCTTGAGCCTTTGCCATCTTGAAGGACTATTCAAGCCATTAACGTCTGGAAACAGGTGAAATGAATGACCAACAGGCTCCGAAATAGGGAGGGGAGGCATATCGACGCCAGGGTTAAATAGCAATAACTAAACAAACAAAGTGCAGTCAGAGGAACAGGTATCCGTCGGGATTTCAGATGGTGGTAGCGAATGGATTTGTAGCATGTTAGGAGCAGGGGAGCCCTGAAAATGCGTCTGGAACGCTATTTCTCTGGAACGGCTGGTTAGAGGAGGACGCTCTGACATCTAATGGCCACCGGCCCACAAAGACAGTCACGGGGTGAGATGTTATTCCTAGAAGATATGTTATTTGTACGGCACCCCGAGAATGCTAAGAATTTCACTGAATCCACGGAGTCAGAGCCCAGACCTCAGCGATCTCAGTCCTAACGGCTAGATTGCAACGTGGGCTAGACTCTAAGGGCTCCAGGTGCAGCTGGCTTGAGGAGCGATGTTCTTACTTCTGTGTAAACTCAAGTCCCAACCTAGCTCTTTGGTTGTAACCTCTCTGAGGCACATGCTGTCTTTTTATGAGCTGGTAGGCAAGGAGGGATGGGGACTGGGGATGAGCCTGGCCTCGCCTCCTTCGCTTGCCGGCTAGAATGGCTGGGCCAGCATGATGTGGGCTAGTAATTTGCTATTGATACAGGCCAGCAGCAAATTACTGTCCCCAGCCAATAAGGAGGGAGCAGGGGCCCAGCTGTATTTCAGAGGGATGTCTCCAAACCAGTGCATCCCGGTGTGGTGCTGCTTTTACAGCACTGCTTGCTCTGGGCTGTGCCAAAGGTCACTAACTAGCCCAGCGGCCCCACTCCTGCAATCAGATCCACTACTGTGGCCCCCTGTGCCCAGGTGAACCCCACGGAGATCAATGACATGTGTCAATCAGTGTGAGATGTTGAAACTGTCT